TTATTTAACATTTGATTTAAAGTGAGAAGAATATACTGTAAAATAAAATAAATTAATAATTATTATATATTATTTTATTATAATTCTCAATTGTTCTTTTTTAAAATAAATTTTTGTATATATTATTTTACTATAACCCTCACTTTTTAGTTTTTAAAATAAATTTTATAAATTTATTTTATATTTGATAGGGCGTTTTTGTTTTAGTCTAGAGAACTTTCATTTATTCTTTATAAAGAAAATATTGTTATTATTATTATTATATATGTGTGTATTAAAAATAATAAATATTTATTATCATTTTTTATTTTTAATATAGTAAATTTTTAAAAATAAATTTACTATTTTAAATATTTACAAATTATCATAAAATACAATATACAATATTAACAAAAGTGCTAAAATTAAACTCTATTACATCTGTAACTGAGAATTCATAATTTAAAGAACAAGACTCTGTATGAAATTATTATCCCTGATTAAAAGTAACATCGACATGTTCTACTTCCTTTTTTTACAAGGTTTCATTATAATTTTCATTGTATTATACAAGTTTAAAAAATTAATAAATATTTTTTTATAAAAATTATGAGAGGTAATATAAGAAATTTTAATGACTTGTGTTGGTAAAATAATTTTCATAAATTTATTATTTTTAATTTCTTAACCAATATTTTAAAATAACTCATTAACATTTTCCTTTATTATATATTACAAACTACACCTCCCTCAATTCACAAATATTTGTTACTTTGCCAACTGTTACGTTCTAAATTGTCTATCATTATACAATTCTAAAAACATTATATATTTCTTTTCAATTTTGAGCTTGTTGTTCTACTAATTATCCATTGTCTCTTGATAATAGTAAAATTAAGAGTTTCAATAATAAATAATTTCAAGGGTATTAATTATACTTCCTGATTTGTTTATTTTTTCACCTCTTTTAACATACGCTCTTCCTTCAGTGGATAATATGTATACTCTAAAAGTTGTGAACAGATAAAAAAAAATATAAAAAAAAATTTTAAAATGAAAATATAGTTACTTTTAAAAAAATTTGAAGACAAATCTTAATCAGTTTCTTAGAATATTATTTATAGCATTAAAATTTGATTTTTATTAAATATTTTTATTCTTATTTATTTGTTAAAAAATATAAAAGTTATGAGATTTAATTATTGTATTAAAAATACTTAATAAATTTCTTCATTTACTCTTTATTGTTGATTTTTTTAATATTATTAGACTACTCAATTAGTATAAATATTTTATTTATTATGCTTAAAATCTATATTTGAGTAATATAGTGTTAAATTTTTTTAATAATTAACATTTTCTTAAACTTCAACTTAGATAGATAAATAAAATAATTTTTTAATCCAAACCAATAAACATAAACTAAAATAATATGATGATACATTTTTTTAAATTTTAAAAAAGCTAAATTACTATATTGGTTTCTTAATTCTTTTTTTGTTCTGATTTTATTCTCTAACTTTTTTTTCTCATTTTAGTTGCTTAACTTATAAAAGTGTTTTAAATAAGTCTTTTTAATAAAAAAAATTAATTTTATTAAAAAATTACTATTAATCTTCTTCATCCTAATAAATTTCAGCAAAATCACACTATATTTTGACGAATTTTTTACTTGATTTCTTCTTCCTTTCTCTTCATCATCATTAGGTACATTATTAAATTAATATAAAAGTAGGATTTGATTCTAGGAGGTACGTTATTATATCTGCAAAATAGAATAATAATTATTTTAGTGCAATTAAACTTTAAAAATAATTTAAGTATTGGAAGACAAAATATCTTTTTAGCCTTAAAATTTGAGATTGAACGAAACTAACTCCTAAGAATGCTTTAATTTTTTATACATATCTTGTTAGTTTCATTATTGATTGCCTTTAAATTTTGTTTTATCTTTACAAATATTAAATTGGAGATTTTGATTGTGTTTAGATAATAAAAATTGAAATTAAACAACACTTAACAACATAATCCTTGTAAATGCAATATTTTTATTAAATACAAAAATTGTGCACTTATCCTTATCAGCCTCAATATTGAGAGAGAAAGCTAAATGTATAATCATGAAATGTAGTTCTTTTAGGTGCTTGCCACAAACATATTTTAATTTCTTTTTTAGACAATATAAGCATATAGTTGACAACGACTCATGACATTTAATGAGTGAGGTTCTTAATAGAGTTTTACTAAACTAGATTTATTGGAGACCCTCATAATTTTGATTTTCAAAGTAGATAACTCCATACACTTGAAAACTTTAGACCTATTAGTTTGTGCAATATGATTTATCGGGTCATCATAAAGGTTTTTGTAAATAGTTTATGACTTTTCATTTGATAAGTTTATTATGAAAAAGAAAATTTCATAACAGGACAAGAGACTTTAAGAAGTGTTATATTTTCATAGGACATGATGCAATATGTAGGGAAGATAAAAAGAAAGAAAAGATTGCAACTTCAAAAATATCTTTTAGAGGGCGTTTGATCTTGTGAATTAAAAATTTCTTCATTCTACCTTCTCTCACATTGAATTTTCCTCTAAGATCATTAGTTTTGTCATGTTATAAGTTCAACCCTCCAACCTCTCTATACTGTAAAATGAATTTAAGCTTCATGATTTCATTTCTTATAACTGGACTTTGTCAAGGGAATTATCTATCACTATATTCATTTGTTTTATGCATAGAGAAATCTCTTATTTTGCAATTGACTTAAAGCGAGCTTTGAAAATTTTATACTTATTTGCTTAAATTGGCAATGTGATTATGAGTGCTTTGACATAGGAAAATGTTGCAACTTCAATTCTTCTTCCTTAATGGATAAGTCTGAAAAGTGAATTTTAAATTTATATTAGAGAAAATTCAAAATAAATGACTTTGAAGAAATCTAAGCTCCTAAATATTGTTGGGGAACTTGTTTAGTAAAATTAATATTTTCTATTATTTCAGTCTATAATATACTACCTTTATACACCATCAAGTTGTATGTAATGATATACAATATACTTAGATGACTATTTGGTGTAAGAATCAGGAGGAATATTGTTAGAATTAAGTCGACTGGACATATTTACTCAAAACAAACAACTTGCTGACTTTAACTTAGCATTATGAGACACAAAGAAGACAAACACTATCCTTTTGAGCAAATTGATATATAAGTTATTACATAAAAAAGATAAAGCATTGTGGTTATGCATTCAAAATCTTGAATCTTTCTTCTTACATCAAAAGGATCCTAAAATTTGAATTTGCAAGATATTGTTCCATGATAATAAATGCTTAATTTTGGTAGCTCTTCAGTGGTCTTGAAAATGACAAAATAACATAATACCTAGTAACAAGCCGCCTTAGACTTATGCATGTCTTTTGACAATCATTTATCCTAAGATGTGTTTACTATTTTTTGTTCAAAACAAACTTCAAATAGTAGCTTTTTGATATCTTTATCCTTTCTTTCTATTAAAGTGAGTGTTAATGGCAATTTCTTTTTCATCTGTCACATGAAAGTTAGTGAGAATTCTTAAAGTTTTATCAAGAATATGGGTTCCAAGTTTTCTCATTTTGTTGGCATAAAAAATGCTTTTTTTTCTCTTTCTTTTTTTTTTTTTTAACAAAACTCATAAATATCCTATTTAGTTTTGTAATAATAAATGTGATTTATAAGAGTGATTGTAAAGAGATGGTCAACCTTTTGATAATTACATAGATTAATTTTAATTTTAATATTCACTTGTAGCCAAGATTATTCATTAGTTTCATAAGAATTGGAATATTAGCACCCTCCATGTCCTTAGGGATACAAATAATTTGATAATAGCTTGGCCAATGTTTCTACACAAATTTAGCTTTTTCATAATTTTTTTATTTTTAATTATACGGTTAAAAAAATGCCTATTTTATTTTTTTATTATATATATCATCCGACTAAGTTACATGCCTAATCGATTAACACTTTTATGAATAGTAAAACTCTTTCCATATCTTTATGGCAAATGCAAAACAATTATTTAATTAGAGCAACTTTTATTAATTGATACACGTGTTTAATTTAAAAAATTGATTAAAATAATAATAGTAAAAAAAATAGTACCACATTTTAAAATATATTTTATTAATTATTAAATTTTTAAAATTAAAGCACTTATTTTATGAAATAATTATTTTTTAAAAACTGTTTCAACGTTTTAAAAAGTGAATTAATTATAAAAACATATTTAAATTTTAGTTTAAAAAAATGTGCTGTCATTCTTCACAAAAATAATGTAACAGACTCGTTTTAAAGATAAAATTTATATATTAATTTTAAGTATTGTTAAAATTATTTATCAATTAAATATAATTTTATTTTAGTAAAATAGTTCTATTTGATGTTACTGTAAATAATTAAGCAATGTTGTGTTTATTTATATTGAAATGATAAAGATGAAAATAAGCAGCAATGAAATTGTCACATTTGCACTCATTTCATTACTCTGGTTAAAGTGAAATGTGTGAATGAAATCTTTAAATTACAGGGTAACCACACAATAATTTCAGCCCATGAATAACGTAATATGGAGGGTTTAAATGGGCCAATTTTTTTATGGACACTTTTGTCCTTATATTTTTTTTACAATTAATGTAAAATAGTCTTACATATTTATATTTCAATTCAGTCAATTTATTTATTTTTATTCTTATCAATTCAAATACTACATTATTTTATTTTTATTCCATCTATTGTTTACTCTTTTCTAGAATTCTAGTTTAGATCATTAATAAACATAAATCACTTAAGAAATCACACTTAAATTTAGTCTCTCCTTTAATTACATCTTTTTTATTATAAGTGAAAATTTATTTAAATTTTTAAAAAATCATATAAATCTTATTTATAATTTTTATGCAATTTTAGTTAATAAAAAATATTGAAAAATGTTTAAGAAAGTGTTTTCTAACACTCCTCTCCTCGCACAGTAATTGCTAGTAGTATATAAATGAGGACACATCACAGGTGCACACGACACATGACAGGTACAGCAAATAAGGTGAAATGAAAATGATCCATCATGCATTGCTTTTGGTGGCGGCTCTAGCCACCGTCCACGTCTCAGCGGAGGGAGTAGCGGTGGCGCCGCCGCCGCAGCCGCCGCTACCAGCAGCAGCGAGAGAGTTCTTAGATGCACATAACCAAGCAAGGGCCGCAGTGGGAGTTGAACCCCTCAAGTGGAGCCAGCAAGTGGCCAACATCACAAGCAAGCTGGTTCGGTACCAGAGGAACCAAATGGGGTGCCAGTTCGCAAACCTAACCGCCGGCAAGTACGGCGCCAACCAGCTTTTGGCACGTGGCACGGCAGTGACGCCACGCATGGCCGTGGAAGAGTGGGGGAAACAGAGGCCTTTCTACAACCACACCGACAACACGTGCGCTCCCAACCACAGGTGCGGCGTTTACACGCAGGTTGTGTGGAGGAAGTCCCTTGAGCTTGGGTGTGCTCAAGCCACGTGCGTTAAGGAACAGTCTAGCTTGACCATTTGTTTCTATAATCCACCTGGAAACTACGTAGGAGAGAGTCCATATTGATTATTATTAATTATATATTATGTATAATTAATTCTCTCATGCATGCTTTTTGTATCTACCTACATTGTCAATTTGTGATGCTAATTTAGTGTTTGATTAATGTGAGTGAGATCGAGGTATGTTTCATGAGATCCTTGTCTAATGTGTTGGGTTGATTTGGATCTTTCATGCAAGTTTTCAAATAATCTATCTAGAATAAGATTATTTATTCTATGAAATAATTTAAATAAATCTATAAAATATTTTTAGTTAACGAATCTTGTTCCCTTTGATTCTCTCACTCACATATATGGATCCTTTGTCCTCTTACATTTTAATCATCTTGTAAGAGGAAGATGGATGAAATCTCAGTGATCCCTACTAATCCTTGTGGTAGATGGTTGTGTTAAATGTCATAAAGGTTTTGTGTTTGTTTGGATAGATGTTTTAAGCAAAGGGAGTGATTGCCTATGTGTTTTTGTTTTGTGGGCTCTGCTTGTCAGTGGCTTTATGGCATCTGAGTTATGCCTGAAGTTCACGAGCACATGCGGGCCACACTCTGATGATTGCCCCATCCAACACGGAACTTATTGTTTCAAATGAATCCAAAATAGGCCATTGCTCTGGTAATCTTCTTCATTTTTCAAAGTTGACCCAGAAATATCTATTAACATTATTTCCCTAAGCACAGTTTAAATCAACTTTTCACAGCTTATTTTAACTTTTCATAGTTGTATATAATTTATACACCAACGTTATTAGAAGTTCTTTTATTTAATTTCTCCAAAAATACAGATTCATAGCTTATTTTATCTTACCAGAGAAATGTAATTCATTTCCCGCTTTTTTGTCATCATTTTCGAACCACTGGTTGAAATTATATGTGGAGACAATTCAAAACATAAACAGTTGAGATTAACGTAAAATACCGGTATCATTAAAATTATTGTGGACTCAAAACCGTTCATAATATCAAGTAATCATCACATGACATGATTAACTGGCCAGTACGTTGACACGAAAGTCTCAAATCACACCATAATTTCTACAACAAACAAACATTTATGATTGTACACCCCTGTCGGGTCGTGATTATAATATTAGTTGTGGCGATCTCCATGCACCTGCTTTCATTTTCATGTGCTCCATTGTTAGTTTTATGCTTTTATCTGAATGCAGCAGGCAAGTTATAAAATCACAAAAATATCTCACCGACATTTGATTAAAGCAAAAAATCATTTACATTGCTAATAGCAGAATCTCAATTCTATCAATAGAGTACATCAATTACAAATACTGCAATAACACATCAACACAATAATACAGATGCAAAATGCTAAAAAATTGCAATATTATATTTTGCTGTTGCTGCTACCCTGTCAACTTTGTACAAAAGAATACATAATAGAGCAAACATATTTTCTTATTTTACAAGCTCCTTAGGTACGAGATATCGGAAAGAAAAGTTGTGTGGAATCCATTCTATGCTCTTCCGGGATTTTGCAAGGTTACATTTCTTAACACTCTTTTGTAGTGATTCAGGTAGAGACTGTTGGATCATCTCCATGGTACCAGCAGAGCACAAACCCGAGTCCTTCGCGAATGACTCTACTAGTTTGGGTAAAAGTACTTTCTGGTCCTTGCGCACCCCAAATGTAGCTCGAATGTACTCTTCCTTTGCAACTTCTAGCTCTTGAAACACTCTTTTAGGTGTATATACACGTATCTGTCATAGTTATAACAAAATAATCAACTCAACAAAGTCAAGCATGTTAAAAATGGTTATTGTAATATTCATGCTAGTTTGGTTTAAGCCTTAAAGTTGGTTAGAATTAATTTTAATGAATTTGATTTTGAATCGTTGAATATGATTGAGAGCATAACTAAATTCATCTAAACCATATATTTTAATTGAAATGTATGGTTTTTTTTTTCTCATTAGATAAATGTAAAGATTAATTTTGTAACTTTGCAGAAAAATCCATGTAAAACATTTTATTCTTCTAGATGTAATAACACGCCATCGTGACCATTACATATGGCATAGTCAAACACAAGCATGAGAAAACCTCTACAAGTGATTTCATTCCTAGAGTATTGTTCATAAGCTAGATAAGCCTCAGTGAAATGATTCCATGCCAAATGATTTGTGCAATGTTTCGTCAATTTAATTTGCCACTGCATAAAGTATTTGAACAAAACAATATTCATGTACTAATTGAGCAGATAGCTTTACGGGTTAAAAAATGGAGATGTTACAAATCTAATTAAAACACACAAATATCTATTAGAGGCAGATTGGAATACGTACTGCTGGATCAGAATGGTTTCCTGAACAGAGTGCAAAGTGTAGAAGAGGCTCAGGATGCTCGATTGCATATGCTTGTCGTCCATCACCAGCTCTGAATTTTGTTCTTGGAGAAAAGAACAAGCGGAACCACTACAAGAGGAAGCAAGTTAGAAATAGTTCTTGTGTAAGTCATTCAACAGGATTTACAAAATATATACTTTGCTTATTCAGAGGATAATTTCATAGATATTCTAAATGGCACCCCATTTTTTTTTCTATAGGGGAAGGGATGAGTTTGTATGACCACCTGTCCAGGGCGAGACATCCGGCACCCAAGTATGGTGCTCTGTATTGTGTCCGCACTGATTGTATGACCCCCAATATTATACGCTGCCTGAAAAGTGCATGACATTGGTTTTCTAATTTAAGTGCATGAAACTTTAATTGACTATTGAAGCTACCACTCTTGGTTTTTACCTTCAACAAAAGAAAGACTCTTTTCACACTGTTTTGTGGAATTCCATAAGCCAAAAATGCCTATTAGAAAATCCCAAATAATGAAGTGAGAGAAATGGAGAACTATTGAAGGGAAACATAGTTTTGAGAATAGTAATTACATGCATCACCAAAGCATTGTGTATGTTGATCCAGAAAGCCAACTTCTCCTCCTGTTTCAGCTTCCCAGGATCAACTTCTTCTAATTGACAAATCAGTGACCTGAAACAACATAGAAGTGCATTCCCATTATGACTCCAAGAGACTGAAGAATTCCACTTAACTATGCACTTTTCAAATGAAAGCTTCATAATCTCAATCAGAAATTAATTAACCCACCTAAAGTTCTGGAGCAACCGCTCAGTATCACCCAATTTCTGACTCTCTCGGTAAATCCATGATACCTCAACCATAGTGCTGTATGGCCCACTAAATTCCTTGAGTCCTTCCACATGGAAAGGATTGTCTAACCTTACATCAAAAGAGGAATTATTCTTGAAACCTGGACTCCACATGTCTCCTTGCTCTCCAATAGAAAAGGCACTCGTTGATGACAATGATGAACTAGGAGATGACAGACCAGGATTTGTGGTAGGTGGATCTGCAATTTTGCAATATATAGCTGATATACACTTGACCATATCCTCAGAAAGCCTGTTAGGTGTATCTGGAATATGATCAGATATACGGGTACCAAGATGTTCTGCCAGACTGATTATTCTTGATGACGCATCAACATTTTGGGCATACTGTACAGAACAAACTGAGTCAAAAACCAAAGAATTCCTCCATAAAGATCAATCTCATAAATTAACACTGACGTAGAGGCAGAGAGAACTGGACTTAGAAGAACTTCTACAATAAATTTAATTATGTCATGTATTCTTCCAAAAAGATAAACACAAGTTTTAGTAATGAAAGACAACTTTTATCAAGAATGGTACGATTGCAGCAACAAAAGGACCTAGATTTTTACATGAAACATGATTTACCTCCATCATGGACAATGGTTGGGAATGACAGGCACGCAGAGATTCAGTTAATACTTCTGCCGTAGGAGATACTCTTGCTGTAAATGTTGAACTGGATAATGAGGAGTGGCAACGATATACACCAGAGTCTAAATGCTTTCCTTCTGGCTGATGTAAATTGTATTCTTTCCCAACAGTCTCAAGTTCGCATCCATTATTTTCCTTTTGCAGAGTATCAGGCTCATGATCAATAGATTGTACTGCAGAGCATCCTCTTTGGGTCAAGAACTCAGGCTTAGAAACTTCAATGAATCTAGCTCTAGGTGTTGTCAGAGGAGACTTTACTTTTTCCTCCTTGGTGGATGGAGATAATGCTACAGAGGGTAATTGTTGATCAAATGCTTTACGATACAAGGAGAGAAGATGTTGTTCCAAATACACAACTTCTAACTCTAAGACTGCAATTTCTTTAATTAATTCGGTGGTTGGCTGGAGTCACAAAAACAAACAAAGAATATCAAATTTGACAAACAGAAAGCATAAACATGACAAGAAAATCAAACAGGGGCTTTAAATTAACAATAGACTCATAAACAATGTAGTAATTGATAGGTTGCACGACAATCTTATGATTGCAGACACATGCATGTCAGGATTGATTTATATTTGCCACATTAGAGTTCTTTTAACGGTTAAAAAAGCACATATAAATCATCCATTAAGTTGAGGTATGTCACTTTTGATAATTGGATACAAATTATTAAATCAGAAGCAAATGCACATTTACTGTGGCAAAATTTATTGAAGAAATTCCAACCTTGGGCAGTATCATGTCGTATGAATTAACAAGAGATGTAGGTCTATATCCAAGTGCCTTTTCTAACGTGCACCTGACCTTAAATTGGTCTTGTAGTCTTTTTTCTAATTGTAGAATCTGCCACAAGATAATTTGAACACAAAACATACACAGCTGTCAGGTAGAAGTATGCTGAACCACTACAAAAATCTTAAAAATGATTGATTGAACCATAATTGTGGCTGCAGTAGAATATGTAACAAAAGATTAGTGAAGAACAGTTTCTGGTGTTATACCTCTTGCTTCAGAGTATGTTGAACATCATTTGTAGGGGTTTGATATTTCCTATGTTTACCACATTCCGTGAGGTACCCTGTATCCTGCAACCAGATTAAACCAACAACTTAGGTATGAAAATCTTCTAAATAATTGTCCAGAAGTAACTACTTATGCCTGACAGACTACAGAGAACTATATTATTATATTAATTAGACCATTAATACCATAAAATCAATTCTGTTCATCCATACTAAACTTTGGAAGCATATATTAGTTAATAAAATTTCTTGCTGCCCTTGGTGTTTGTGATACCAACTACCCCCCCCCCCCAAAAAAAAAAAAAATCCAAAAAGAAAAAGTCAACATTTTTTCAGCATCATAAATGCCTAACAATGCATTTACAATATAATATCACCCAAGTTAAGAAAGCTAGAAAAAGTGAAGGCGAATTCTTGATGAAATAATGGAGTGATTGATTATACCAGCTTTGTTTGATCTGAGGCCTCCAGGTAATTATCGTCCTCAACTTTTTTCTTATCAGGAAAGCTGCCATATAAAAACAGTAAACACAATTAGTGTATGATAAATTGATATCTGGTTCTGCATCTTTTTGAGGTAGGTGGTAGGTGCCCTTTAAGGAGCCCAAACTACATTCACGAAATCCCCAATTCTCATCCTTTCTAAGAGGTATGAGCCTTCGGTTTCAGTTTCAATCAGGAACCCCCTTCTTCCCAAAGGAAGTTCACAAATGGGTGGTACACACAGAAAAACTAGACCCAAAAAGAATGAACAATTGCTGTTGCTGAACACATTTATATAACTTTTTTTCTTTTTTGAAACAGCCAAAATAAAAAATAAAAATGAAAACTTTATTTTCTATTTTTTGCATGAATTCCACAATCAAGAGAGTACAGACATTATTTAAGCAACACGAGAAGCTAAGCACAAGAAATAGAGTGGCACCTCTTTGAACGCTTGTGCTTTGGAACCAACCCTTCAAGCCCCATGCCTGATACCCCATCCAAAAACAGAGTCATTTCCAGTGAACCAAACATATAAAAAAGTGAAAAAAACATAGTAACAACAGAGTCACATCCTACCAGGGAACATAACAAGCAAGAGCTCTAAAAGAGAACACTTGAATAATGTAACGAGCCAGAGACACTATATAGCCCAGATACCAAATTAGCCAAGAGAGTCTACAAACTAGATTCCAAGACTTGACTTGATTTGACTTGCGGCATTTCAGCAGAAAAAAATTTCCTTACCCACAAAGGGGATCATTTGCTTGCTGCTAATATGGTTTAGACATAAATAGAACTATAATGGTGTGCATAAAACCAAACCCATGAATGTGGAGAGAAGATTAGCCTTTTGACCAATGAGCTTTCTCTTTTGATGACACCCTTGTGCTAATTATTTTGTGCTATGCTCATAGCCTTTTTGTAAAGGGTGTCCTTTTGCATTAGTTGAAGCAGCAATGGTAGACTAGCGTAGAAATGTCAAAACGTTTACCAAATGCTAACAAACCTCACTATAAAAGCCTCTACAGATCCAAGGTCACCATTAGTCAAGTAGAAAAATACTTAGTGGCTGAATAGAAAAATATACACAATACAGCTTCTCGGTCTTCAATGCACGCTTACCCTTGTACAATTTTATAACATAAGGGTAGAAATATGTAAATTTAAAGTAAATTATCATAAATATTGTCACTAAGAAAATGATATATAAGAAAAGGACTAAAAATTACTTTAAAGTATATAGCGTGGTAAAAGAAATGAATAAAAATTTTCATTAATTGAGTAATAAATATCATTCATTTATATTTTTTTTTTCAAAGGTGAGAATATTGTCATAATATTTTATGAAAATCTTATTTGCATATAACTACTTATACAATATTTTTATATTACCTTTTTAAAAATAATATGTTAAGAGAAATACAATTTTCAATACATTCACTTTCTATTTTCTAATAAAACGTTGTAATTAAAAGGTGGAAAAATGTGACGTGTAAAATTTATTTCTCTTGGGCTTAAACAGAAGATATGACCAACCAATTTACTATATATTAGCCCAAATTCTACGAAAGTTTAGCAGAGGTGTCTAATGTTAAACTTCCCTCGTTCAACTCATTTCACCATTTCTTGCTTTGTGCAGTTCATAGTTCATATGCTTTTGTTAATCTTTTAATGCTTTTTTAGTTTTCACTTTCTAGATTTGAGTTTTATTTTCATTTGAATTAAAAAACTAAGATCTTATATAACATGGCTCCTCTGTCACTTAGAAACTCTACCCGTAGTTAATAGTATTTAAAGATGAGTTACCAAAAGTCTCCTCCTAAAACTCACCACAATTTTGGAACATATATAATGATTGGACAAAGATAGAGGTATCTCTCATTGACTGTGCATATGACTCTATACATGTATACATGGCCAGCTATATTATTTTCAACATTTTCTGCTCTCTTTGGGAAGAAGCAAGTAAGAGTTGGTGACATTCCGTCCACCCTTTGTCTCTTTTGGCATCGCATCCTTAATTATTAAGCCAGTTGATTTGATATAACCAAAACAAGAGGACAGAAAAACGGAAATAAAGATTAGATGGTTGTTTATTTTTGGTTAAAGAGATACATTTTGACTGTTGCAACAGTGGAACCATTTATTTTTTTAGGTACATTGGATTAATCTGCATACAGTGTTGTTGATTTAAATTGTTTCATATTTGGTATGGTACTTGTCACGTCCATTTGATGCGTATAATGAAAAAGGCATTTGTTTGCATTCCTACTAGACCACTCAAGTTATAACCAATAATGAGGAAACAAGTGACTAGGTAACAAAATACTGGGTTGCAAGAAAGAAAAGCAAGGATTTACCTCAAAAGGGATGAAAGCAAAGGGATAAAGGACGTTGGATGCTTGAAAGTAATAGAGGTTTTGTGGGGTTTCTCTTTGTCTCTAAATGTATTTTGTTGGGAATTAGGAGATACCCATATTGTCCTTGAGTACCAAAGAGACTAACGTTTGTCACAGAATCCACAAATATAATATGTAAAATAAGGCTTCAACTTTGCCAAAACCAATACAAAAAGAAAAGCATAGGAGTGTGGTAAGGTGTGGCCAGTTCTCCCTTTTTGTCGTCATATTAACCTACTGAGAAAGAAAGTTTCTTTTTGCTGCACACTTGCTGAGACAAAGAAAAAGAGAAACGAAAAGGGATGGAAAAAGGCACAGGAAAAGCCGAATTGCTGAAGCTAGGTGAGAAAAAATAACAAAAGGTTAAGGGTATATTTGATTACTCGTTGAAAATCATTGCACACGTTATGAATAAATAATTTACTTTTTTTGTGTTGGCTCAAAGATATGTTACATTTTACACTATTTAGTTGGGACTATCAAGCATAAAATAAAGGGTTCAGTCGAAAATAAAGCCAAGAGAGGCTACAGACAAAGACCAGTAAACATATTTTGCGAGCTTAACTGTGTTGAATAGTTATTTGCTCAAACAACATTATCTATTTTCCTGATAAAGGACTCTGCATAACATATAATATTAGTTGTGGTATAGGGAAAATGACAAAGAATTGTATCATCTGAACTTTATTTTTCATTTAGAGAAATAGACAAAGTGACAAATTTAATAAGAGTCTTCTTAGGTTATTTTCTAAATGATCCGGGTAATACCAAAACAAATGTGCAGGGTTCTTCTTTGGACACATCTGATATTTTAAGCTTCACTGCAGAGTCGAAATTTCTTGTCCCACTAAATAAACAAATGAAACTTCTATTTTATCTTATCGTCGAAATTTCATACGAGCCAGAAGGACGAGTTTCAATGTCACAAAACACCAAGATAGCAAGAAAATAATATATGGTGTCAAATTAAGGGGATCGATTTTCAAACAAATCTGACAGACATGCTTCCTAGATCCAAGTAGCCATAGAAAATGTCTAATAACACTCTTTAATTGAGGATTACAAAACATTATAATTCACAGTGTTCTATATAACCGAGATTCTTCTTAAAATTTGATTAAATCAGTTTATAAACACAATATTATGTTAGACGATCATGCTTAAATGGTAAAACAGATGCTTTAAATAAACATTATAGATTGATGGTTTCTAGAGTGAAAACACTACCAAGACAGAATTTAAAAAGGTAAGATGAATTGGCGTTTTCCTTTGCAGAGATAGTTAACGATGAACAATTTTGGATGAATTGATGAAAAAAGACAAATTAGAAGTATTTCAGATGATGTATGTAAATTCAAATGAAGCTTGGAGGGCTTCCATATGTGTCTGAAGAGGGGCACTTGTAATTTGTGCCATTTGTCTTTGTTTCAACCCATATTATATTAGCTAGTATCTGTTTGTTTGCATATGTGAAACAAAATAATTTTAAAATAATAACAGTGACACTAGCGAGTTGAACGATAAAAGAATACTGTTTTGTTGATTATTTTGTATTTATTTATCTTCGTTCTAATTTTCCATCCTGTAAAATAAAATTTGAAAATATAGTATTTTTAAGCCTTTGGTTTGTTGCGTTGTGGATAGAATTTTCACTTGGCATCCGTCTACTTCATGGCACTTTGTAAGTACAAATCAAAAGTGACTTTTCAAACTATGTTCAAACTGAAGTAGACTGTGGCTCAAATCATAAGACCATGATGAAGGTGCCCAAATCAACGTTGTTTCCAAAATGTGAATCAGAAATTCGCCATGCATGACCCATCAGCTAGGATTGGGGAATCTGATATTATAAATGTGCCTCGTAATAGCAACACCTAAATCCACAAATTGTGTCCATTAGCTACACGTGGAGGGAGAGAAGATCCACAGTGTATGTCGTGGTGGGAAAATGAGAGGTTTATGGGGTAGTATAAATAATAGAAATATTAGTCAATTATCAAATTGATAATGATAATTGATTAATATTTATACTCTCACCCATATAATACACATTATGCTCATCAATTATGTGTACCATGTTTATCATTATATTACGAAAAATGGTTTTGGTGCATTATTTTTCATGTTTTGGTTTTGAGAAGGCCTAGTAGAGTCCCATTTGCGGAACATAAAAGGCGAATTTTCCAAAGACGTTTAGACAAGCGAGTGAATGCCAATCATATATTACAAGCAAAAGGCATCTTTCACTTCCCTACTCCTACTGTCCCCACCTCTCCCTCCCTCTAAAGATGGTCCAAGATCCATAATCTTAATGGATGCATATACCCTACTCTTAAGGGTCATAACCTAGTGGTTGAAGGTTGAAACCCAAAAAAATTAATATATCGTGCAATACTTTAAAGCTCTAGCAAAGTATCACTCTCCGACAATGATTTCATTAAAGTACAATTTATATAATGTTCATATTAGAACAAATGAACAATATTAGTCGTACTTTTTATAGCGACCAACAGTCCAACACATTTATTTGTCTAAAGATATAAGATTCAATATTTAATTTTAGATCTTTTAGATTTGTAAAATTAATTTTGATTAAAATTAAATTTAAAGTGAAATCTATATTTAAAAATTTTTATTTTAAAAATAAAATTTTCGCTTCAATGTAAAAACATTTTTTTTCTTATATTCAAACGTACTTAAAAAAAAAAAAAAAACTTAATTCTGGTTGAAAACGACAACTAATTAAGATTTTTAAAAAAAATATCTGGATGAACAACCACAAATAAGTGTTTAGAATTTTAGTAATGATAACAACACATTCTTTAATACAAAATCTCTTATACATATTTTATTATTAGTTAAAATTATTAAAAATTATAAAAACTATGTGGATCTCAATTTTTTTTATTCTTAAATTAATAATTTTTATAATTTTAATTAATAATAAAATATGTATTAAAGGATGTGTGTAAAATGAATTTTTGGCCATGAGATCGCAAGAAAATTGAAAAATAGTAAAAGGGTCCATTTTGCAAATGAAATTGTCACCAAAAGGGGCTGACACCCTGGTGGATGCACAGGCTTTAACTTTAGTCACGGCCTAGTGAACGAGATGGTGCTGAACATTACCCTGGGAACTCCTTGGTTTCTTCTCTTAACACTTTTTATGTTTCTTTTTTTTTTCTCTTTACATACTTTTCTTTTCATGACACATCATTTCTCCAAATTCTCAAGGTTGGTTACCCATTAAACTCTAGTTCCTATATTGACGGCATGTATCATGTATCCATGCACCTTCCCCATGAATTACAATGATCGGTGCAATAAAAAATATTAACTTTCTGCTTTTGACAATTCTTCACTGCATCGTTAAAATTATGAGCTATGAATTACGTCTGACTAAAACCGCAAATAACATGATGCCTAATGTTTCCTACAGTCCTACCCCAATCATTGTGCAAGCTGTTCTCAATATTTGATTTAAAATTAATTTAAATTATATATTTTTATTAAAATATAAAATTTTATATTAAAGTGTAAAAATTATTTTTCTAACCAAAAAGCAACTGTGTTCATACTTGTTTAACTTTCAAAATCAACTCCTCTTACCTACATGCATTTTATTGCAAAATCTATGATTGAAATTAATTGGGACACAAATCTCGATTATATTCAATAATTTAAAGTTGAAACTATTAA